GTGTGTGTGTGTGTGTGTGGCACAACTTCAATGGCCGTTGCATATTAGTGCTGCAACGCAACTAACAGCAACATGCCACACGCCTACAATTGGCAAACCGCCCAACAGCAAATGTCCAACCCCAAAAAAAAGAGAAGAATATTAATACAAGTGTGTATTAGTGTGTGTGTGTGTGTGTGTGTGTGCGTGTGTGCATTATGTCTAGAAATACTCGAAATATTTAAGGTAGTCAGCGGGCATACAGCACGCAAGCCAGAGCCTAGCAGAGGCGTGTGCTATGCAAGTGTGTGCCTGTGTGTATGTATGTGTGTGTGTGTGTGTGTGTGTGTGTAGGGTAGCTCAATTTCAAGTCAAGCAGGCAAAGCCAACTGGACAACACACACAATGCCAGAGCGAGAAAGCCGCAAACAGAGTGTGTGAGTGCGAGCGAGTGGGCGCGCGGAAGTGTGAGCGAGCGGGACAGAGAGAGAGAGAGAGAGAGAGAGAGAGCGAGGCTTGGCTTGGCCTGTGAACGCATGAGCGAGCGAGCAAGCGAGAAGGCAGGTAGCGGCGGCAGACGTAGGGCAGCTATGCCCAAGCGGTAAGGGTTGTTCACACACACACGCACACACACACATGCATATATATATATATATATGTGTGGTCATGTGTGTGCAAACGAGATGGCATAGGTTAAACGAGCCTAGGCCGAGGCCGATATGCCGAGCGACAGTGCGAGGGGTTGGGGCCGGCTGCCTAGGCCAGCGAGGGTCGGCTGCCATTTTAGCGCTAGCCTACCAAAAGACAGCCATAGATAATGCAACAACAACAACAACAACAACATCTATAGGCAAAAGAGATAGCCGAGTAAACATATATAAAAATTGAACAGAAATATTTTAGCAACTCGCAGAAAATTAGAGCTAAAAACTAAATTGATTTTGATGAAATATTAACATATTTAGCAAGGAAAGAAAAGCATTAAAATAGACTCAACTAATGTAACTTGTATAGATCTACGTCAGTTATCAGCGACAAAAGCTGCTATTTATATGCAGCACTACTATTTTTATGAACAAGGCCTTACATATGGATGTGTTATCTCAACAAATGTGTATTCAATATCAATCTAAATCTAGATATAGACTCTATAGTTCACTTTGAATTTCAAACGAATCTACGAAGATATATAGAAATCTATATAAACCCAATGGCGACTGGCTGTGATGGTTGAAGTTTCATCCCTAACAAAAGCATTGTATGAAAGATAAAAAAAAAACTTTGCAAGACAGAGCCTGAGAGAGAGAGAGAGAGAGAGTATCGATGTGTTACAGCAGAGAAATGAAAGAGAAATCACTTTGCTCAGATCAGAAGCTTGCAAAAGCTCAACGAAACAAAAGCAAAAGGAACCAAATTAAAGTTGAGTTGAAAGCGAAAGACAAAAGAAGAGCATAGAAAAGAGTGTTAATATGTAAAGGGAATCAAATAAGTTGTATAAACTAAATAAAAAGATAGAGTAAGAGCTTGGAAAAAGCTTAGAAAGATTACAGACTGCAGCTATTTCAAGAGTTAAGCCTAGAGATCACTTTCTTCAAGCAATATTGAGATCATTTATGAGCTTTAAGCAGAAAGCTCTATGTCAAATGTATGATCAAGAGCTTCCAAAAGCTGCAAAAGCTTACCTAGCTAAGTGAAAACGAGTGAGAGAAAGAGAGAGAGAGATAGCGCGAGAAAGTGAAAGAGTGAGTGATAGAGAGAGGCGGAGGCAGATAGAAGAAGAAAGAGAAAAAAACAGAGAGAGGAGGGGAGGGAGAGAGATGGAAGTTAGAGAGAGATGGAAACAAAGGCAAAGACTAAGACAAAGAGAGAAAGCTTGAACAAGCTTAAAGAAAATAAAGTTAATATTGAGAGGGCGCTAGAAAAGTGTATAAAATATAAAGAGATCATGAAAAGATTATATAAGAAGTGGGGTCTATCTGGAGAACAGATACTCCAAAAGTCTCGAGATCGTGAATTAGTTTTCTCACTCAATATTTAGCTCGACTGTCGATAGTTGGAGCTGCGCAGAGTGCAAGCGGCAATAAATCGTTTTATTGTCGTTAAAACATGAGCAGAAGAAGAAAAAGAAGAAGAAGCAGCAGCAGCAGCAGAAGAAGCTGAAAACTAGTTTCCGCAAAACTCTTTCAGCCATTTGGTTATAAACAATATTTTTCTCAGACTCTATGATTAACAAGTAGCCGGCGCGGGCATCTATTATATCTCGTTAAAGTCCCAGACCCGATCGAAGACAAACTCTTTGTAATTAGTCGCCAGCTATGCAATTAAGCAACAGCAGAGAGCAGTGCTCAAGCGCTGATAGAACCTGCCAGAGCCGATAATACCCCATTGGGCTGGCAGCGACGCGGCGAGGGTATCGTAATAGGAATAATTTTGCATGCTTGAGCGTTAGCCAAGACTTATGCGAGCCAGTTGTATGCATACGAATACTAAAGTACAGTTGACATACACTATATATATATATATATATGCATACTATATGTCTGTATGTGTGCATATATGTGTCTGACTATGACTAATCGGCGAGTGAAACCACTTTGAAAGTTAACTATTTAACGCCCGATTTCAATGGATAATGCCGACTGCTGGGGACGGCTCGAGCGCTGGACTGCTGCCCTTGACACCACCTGCATCTGCCAGGTAGCTCTAATAAGCCAAGCTAATTGCACACCTTCCGCTCGCCACTGGCATTGAATCTAGCCGCGCTTTGGGCTTTCAGCTATTTTTCGACTTTGATTTGGATATCGTTTCATTTCATTTCATTTCGTTTCGCTTAGATGACGGAACTTGAAAAGTAAACGCCGCCTGCAGTCCTCTGTGTGTATGTGTGTATGTGTGTGTGTGTGTGTATGTATGTACATACATATTTATTCGCATTCATATGTATATAGTTTTAGCCAGCTCTCTTTCATCTTTGACTGCCAAAGCCACCCTGTTGCGTTAGAATTTATATATATAAATATTTTTTATGATTTTTGTGTTTTGATTGTTGTTTTTTTTTTTTTTGTTTTGTTTTGTATTCAATATTTCATTTGTTATCCGTTCTATTGCTTTGCGTTTCTTTCATTTTGCTTTGGCTCTGGCTGAGCTGCATTCGCGCTGCGCACGCGCAAAACTTGTTAGAAGTTCTATTCTTATACTATAAACATATATATATATATATATATATATATATATTGTTGAGACGGGGCAGTCGGAAAGTCGGGTAGCCGTCATCGCAGCGCGAATGTTCAAGGTTAACAACGCTCAAGCGCTGCTCAAGTGTGTGCACTGCGGACCGTCGATAGCTCTAACAAATGGTTTAATGGAACGGACGCAAAAAGCAACAGAAAGCGACGCTTGGCATAGCCGGCATAGCTAGTCGAGTGGGTAGCATGAGATATATATAAATATATATATATGGGGTAGCGGGGGATGGGCATACGAATGTCCGGGGACTCGAGCATTAGGCGTTGTCACAGTCGCAGCTGTCGCATGGCTTGATAATATCGGAAGATTGACAGAAAAGTTGAAACTTAATTGATAAGGTGCTATACGATCTGTGTGCTGTTCCATTCCAGCATTTCTAACAGTAAATGCTGTCTAAGCTAATGATTGAAGGCAACTTAGTTAGTAATAAAGCTGTTTATAGTTCATAAATCTGTCCTGCGACCTGTTTGCTGTTTCATTCCAGCATTCCTAATAGTCAATGGCCTAAGACTCACTAAATAAATGCAACTTATCTTATAAGGTATATATATGGAAGTGAAAACTAATTGATAAACTGTCATAAAACCTTCTTGTTGTTCCATTCCAGCATTCCCAAAAGTAAATAGTCTAAAACTTCGTTTAAATATTCATATAACATTTTTTAATTAATATGGGAACAAGAAAACTAATTGTTTTAGGTACTTTTTGATGTTCCATTCCAGCATTTCCAGAAAATCAGTCTTGCCAGCTTCATAATATTATCAGAATGAGCATATATTATATATATTAATTATCTAAATAGAAAAAACAATTTTTAAATTGTTATGTGATTTCTTTGGTGTTTCATTCCAGCATTCCACCAAGTAACGAAGTGTATATATATAATATATTACACATATTAAAGAAAACAGCTAGTTAAACTTTCGTGCGACCTCCTTAGTATTTCATTCCAGTATTCCCAGCAGCACAACCTTTGCTCTGAGGCGACCATTCTATTTTACAAGTTCGCCAAAAATGTTAGTATTCAGTTTTGCTGTGCGTTCCCAATATCAATGCTCAGCTGGAATGCACGCTGAATTCTAAAATCAACTGATAAAGATATGAACGGAAACGGCGCTGAGAAACAGTTAAGCAATCTCTTTTGTGTTCTATTTCAGTATTCCAAGCATAGAAGACGCCATGTCGTATGCTGAATTGAATGGGAGATTGATTCAACCAGAGAACATGTGTTTCATTCCGGGCCAAATAAATTTTAGCAACTCAAACTCTGCCATAGCAACAAATGGAAATGAAATCTTACAATTCGCACTCTCAACTAGAATTTTTTAATATTGTTATTAATCAATTAGGTTTTTGTTCAAACTCGAATATCTCGCTCGTTTCAAGGAGGCTTTGCCTACGACTTTTGGACAACCCCAAAGGCATTCTGTCTCGAGCTCATTTTACAAATAGTGCTCAACTATAGCACACGTTTTATTTTTTCTATTTTGCATTTTTTATTTGATCATTTGGCAAAAACTTATTGTAAAAATCATAGCAAGTGATAGTATATAAATCTCAACTAATGCCCGGTGTAGACCAAATTTAACATTGCATCCAAATGACACAAAAACAGAAGCAACAGCAGCAACAGCAGCAACAGCAGCAACAACAGCAACAACAACAACAACAACAGCAGCAGCAGCAGCAGCAGCAGGAAGTGCAACAGCAACAGCAACAACAAGGAGAAGAAGACCAACAGCAACGAGCAGTTCATCAACATCAACATCAACATCAACAAAAACATCAGCAACATCAACATCAGCAACAACAAGAACAGCAAAAGCAACATCAACAGCAACCAGCCCGCAATGTATTCTCGAGCGATGCGGAATTGCTGCGCGACTTGGCCAAATCGAAGCCGCATGGCCATTCGCCGCGAGAGAAGCGCATTGGCCTTATCGCTGCAATGGGCCACTTTAGGCCCAAGAATGCCACGCCCATACAGTTTTATAACTATGTGAGGGAGTTTTGCATCATGCACAATTGCAGCATCGACGAGGCCATGGAAAGGGCGCCCGATGCCTGGACGAAGCTCAGCAGGGACCATAGGAAACTCTACAATTCGGTAAAGCTGACTTCACGCATTTCATAATCCGTTTCATTGTTCCCATTTGCGACAACTGCAGCCTCACTACGAGGATTAGGGTTCGGCTACATGGCAATTGCTGAACTGATTTCAGGCATTTCCTTATCACTCAGCCGTTTTGCTTAGTGATTCATTACTCCTTTTGCTTCCAATACCCCAATAGACTAGACGTTATCTATAGTCTAAGCGATAGTCAAGCTTTTCCTTTCCAGTATAGCTGTTCCTAGCATACAGATCTGAGTGACCTTCAGTTAAACTGTTCTTAGGATATAATTTTAATTCAGATTTAACTGTTAACAGATTAAACTGTTCGCTGGTTTCAACTGTTCCCATTCAGACTGTTCCCATTCAGACTGTTCCCATTCAGACTGTTCCCATTCAGACTGTTCCCATTCAGACTGTTCCCATTCAGACTGTTCCCATTCAGACTGTTCCCATTCAGACTGTTCCCATTCAGACTGTTCCCATTCAGACTGTTCCCATTCAGACTGTTCCCATTTAGACTGTTCCCATTTAGACTGTTCCCATTTAGACTGTTCCCATTTAGACTGTTCCCATTTAGACTGTACCCATTTAGACTGTACCCATTTAGACTGTACCCATTTAGACTGTACCCATTTAGACTGTACCCATTGGGTCTGTTCACTTACGTTCGCATTCAAACTGTTCCCAGTTGTCTTTTGGTAAATGCTGCCCACTTCCACCCTTTTCCACTCCTACTCATTTACAAAATGTGGAGCTCACTCGTGTTCCAATTCCATTGTCTGTCTTAACTATCCTCTCTTAAGCGACGTTCCATATTCCACCGTTTCTTTGTCTTTCAGACGATGCACGCCGCTTTGCCCATTCCGGTGCCGCGACACCTCATCTATCGAGCGTTTCAAATGGAACGCGCTGGGCGCTGGAAAATAAGTCCAATGCCCGCCGCGAACGGCAGCTCCACCATGTACTCGATGGAGTCCTATTCTCCGCCGGTAAAGCCCACTAAGCTACAGGCGCGCCTGAAGGCGCAGCGTCCGCGCTACGACAATCTGGTCGAGATTGAGCCCTGTTGTTTGGAGCCGTTGCGCGCGCACACAGCATCATCGGCCAGCAGTTCGCCTAAGACGAAGACGCCGCCCGAGCAACGTGCGCCGCCTGCAAAGAGCGCACTGTCGCTCCGGAAGCTGCTCTCTGAGCCGAACCTGAAGGGTTTGCGCAAATCACGGATCAAGTCGTTGCGCACGGCGCCGACCATCGCGCAGCTGCCGCAGAAGCAACACCGGCAGCCGTCGGCAAAGTGCAAAAGCAAAAAGCTTAACACGTCGGCTGTGAAGAAGAAGCAGCAGCCGCAGCCGCAGCCGCAGCTGCAGCAGCAAGTCGTTGAGAAGACACCGCCGCCGCCGGCGCTGACGGCACCGAAGGCGTTAACCGATGTCAAGCGAAAGTATTCAATTAATAAGAAATCCAAGCACAAGTCCTAAACGGAGCTGGCTCCTCAACTAACGATTAAAGATTAATTGTATCCTCGTCCCCAATCCACTTTTACAATGGCACAAACGCACTATAAATTTTACTCTCGAGCCACAGACGAAAAATAAGACAAGTTGGCAAAAAAAATATATGTATATATAATGTGTGTATATATATATAGCCGCCAAACTAAAGAAGAATCACTCGGAAGGGAATGAGAGTAGACGCAGGCACACGCACAACTGCACAACCGCACAGCCGCACAGCCTAGACTCGCGTATAGGTCTGTGTGTGCAGATGTGTATGTGCAGAGAAATGTATGCAGACACAGATCGATTCACACACACATTGAGTATACTCCGATGGCCGCTGCCGATCTCAGTGATTACACCATTGATTGATCCCGAGTGCATCGATATATATCGATTGTCAATTGCTACTGCTGCCCCGACTCGCCAGAGCTCGACGAAAGAAAATATAAGATGAAAATGTATAAGGTTGTCATTGTATTCGTGTAAATAATTGTAAATCCGTTATGCTTGTACGATCTCTACTCTTCTCAGACTCAACCCGAACAGCAATAGCGAAAATACTAAATATATATGTACGTAAATGTTAAATGTGGCATGTTGCATGTTCAGTGGGTACTGCTGAAATATGTCCTGCTGATGTGTACCATTCAGATATGTATGCAGTTATATATAATATAGGTCAAGTAGCTTAAATCGGCTTTCATGCTCTATTCGGGTATATACGGCAGAGTAGAATTAATATATCTATTAATTTCTGATCATTTATAAACAGATCTTAAAAACAAAAGTCACGCAAATGGGTTTGTGAGGTGGGGTAGAAGTAAATGTATCTACATCTCAGATATTTTTATATCGCAGTTACTTTTGAGTCTCACAGATGCTTTTGTATCTTACAGATATTTTGTATCTTACAGATATTTTGTATCTTACAGATAATTTTGTATCTTTCAGATACTTTTGTATCTTTCAGATACTTTTGTATCTTTCAGATACTTTTGTATCTTTCAGATACTTTTGTATCTTTCAGATACTTTTGTATCTTTCAGATACTTTTGTATCTTTCAGATATTTTTGTATCTTTCAGATATTTTTGTATCTTACAACTACTTTTGTTTCTTACAGTTACTTTTGCTTCTTACAGTTACTTTGTATCTCAGATACTTTTGTATCTCGGTTACTCAAGTATCTAACATGTATTTAATATTTAGCAGATACTTTTGCTTCTCACAGATACTTTTGTATCTTATGCTGATGTCCTTTACATTTACAAAGATACATTTGTATCTCACAGTTACGCACACATCTTGCAGATACTAATGTTTGTCACACAAGCTTCTGTATCTAATAGAAATTTTGTATCTTACAGATACGTTGTATCTAACACACTTGTATATCTTGCTGATGATAATATATAATGGAGATACTTTTGTATCTTACAGCTACTTATGCATCTCATAGCTACGCAGATACTTTTGCAACTAACAGATACACATTTGCGTGTACCTCACGGAGACTTGCACGTGTCACAGATACTTATGCATCGCATGGTAAGCTTTGTATCTCACAGTTGCTTGTGTATTCCAAAGATACTTGCGTATCTTTTATATATGTATGTATCTTGGCCATGACGTTTGATGAACCGTTATTTAGGTAACGCACACCATAGGCAATAAAAAAACGTTGTTGCTGTTGTTGTTCTATAGACAACTAACAACCTAGAAGAGCCAGCAACAACAACAGCAGCAGCAGCCGCACAAAAAGATAAATGAAATCAGCAAAAAACCCAGCAGGAAAAAAATTCGCAATGAAAAAATTAAATTTTTTCGCTTCTTTTTTTGTATTTTTGCCAATCGGCACGCAGTTGCCAGTTGAGCGTTTGACCTAAATACGCTGCCCGCCATGATGTTGTTGTTGTTGCTGCTGCTGCTGTTGTTGTTGTGGTTCTCAATAGGCTAAACTTAACGCGCTTTTGTGCGTCGCTATAAAAGACAAAAAAAATATAAATAAATATAAAAGCAGGCAAAAAATAAAATGGCAAATAAAAAGAATTCGCTGTTAGATTTGCGTTGTTGTTGCTAATTTCGCAAAAAAAGAAGAAAACAAAAAGAAAACGAAAAAAAAAATTCTATTCCGCGTTCGGCCGAAAAAGCAGGCATGAAATGAACAACTGTACACAAAAAGCGAAAAGTCACTGTCGAAGCTGACGCTGACAGCACCGTCGACGCTGACGCCTGCGCAGCCCACGACATCGTTTTGACTCTGGTTCTTCTGCTTTTGCTGCTGCTGGTTGTTCTGTTTGGTGCTTGCTAAATTTATAGCCGCTTACGCATGACGCCAAAAAGCAGCTGACAAAAGCTCACACACACACGCACACACACACACACACACACAGGCGCGTACATGCACACGTATGAAAGCTGCCTGCTTTGGCGTTGCTTCAGAGCGCAGCGTCGTCATTTCGACAGCGCCATTTGACTTCTAACTGCTTTTATAAACAGGCAGCATGGGCACACACACACACTCACACTCACACGCACGTACACACAGACAAAATGCACACACGTAGGCGCTAACTAGGCGGCCAACTAAACTTAACTAGCGTCCTCTGCTGACGGCGCTGCTTTGTGTTGTCAAGCTGCAAAGGCGCAGCGACGAGCAGCGTAGATTACGCAATGCGTTCGTTGCTTTACACACACACACACACACACGCAAGCTAAGAGCAGCGCCAACAACAACAACATTTTTCGTTTCCGCGATCGACGCGTTTGCAAAAAACACAACAAAAAATTCGCAAATAGCAGAAGTTTCGATGCGTGCGACCCAATTGGAAATTTGACACACAAAAAGAATGTACGAAAGCGAGAGAGGAGAGAGCGTCGATTCGCTGGCTTGTGTTAGAAATACAAAAAAAGGGAATATAAATAAAAACATGTGAAGCTTTAATTATGGGAAATTAATTTTGTTTTTTTTTCTTTCACTTAATTATGCGTTTATTACGTAAGTTTATTGACAGCAAAAAATGCTTGACAGATAAATATTAAAAATATTTAAATTAATTTAGTTATTTATAATTTTAATTAAATAAATAATATTTACTAATTTCATTTCTAATAAATAACAATATATTAAAAATATTGTACATAAAAAATAATAATAATTATTGCAAAATATACAGATAACTCTTAGCTCAGTATAGATATATATATATATATATACATAAGATAATAGCCGATTCATAAAAATATATAAAATTATGAAATATTTTTGTCTTTTGTCTTAGATAACTCGGCTTGTGTCTTTTGCAAGCTAGATACTTGGGTCTCTCCTCTATCTATTGCAAAGATAGTTGTCTATATCTTTGTATCTGACAGATACACATCTCACAGATTTCTTATATCTCATAGATGTGTAAGTTCTATATATTTTATCTGATATACTTAGATACTTATGTATCTTTAAGTTACATCTAGATTCAATGATTGCCTTTCAGGCTCACTCACGTAGATAGTTTTGTATCTGAGAGATATTTATGAAAATAGTTTTTCTGTTTTCTTAACTCAAGATAGATAGAGATAGAGAGAGCATTTCAGCTTCAGCCAGTTGAGTTTTATTACAGCTGTCCGAAGCGCCAGAAACAAAAAAAAAACAGAAAGAGAAATTTTTGCAGTTGGCTCTGTTTGACCTTTGGCCTGGCCGTGGGCGTCAGCTGTGCAAAACTGAAAGATCGGCCAGCGAGCACAACTGTTTCTAGCGGGTCGTTAGTCAGCTGAAATTCAATGCTATCTACACACACACACAGAGAGAGACACAAGCAGGCACGCACACGCACACGCACACACTGAGTCGCAAATTAGTTCACTAGGTGCCTGATTGCTGCCTGCTGTTGTTGTTGTTGCTGCTGCCATTTAAATTTAGCGTTGAGCAGCGCACAGCGGCTGAAACATTGAAAATCATAAAGAAAACCAACAACAGCAACAATAATAATCATAAAAATTTCGCACATATCTGTCCTTGACACACATTGCGTATACGCAATTTACGCAGCGCGCGAGTGCGTATACGCATTAGCGTTCTAAGTGCGTGTGCGTGCGTGTGCGTGTGTTTAGTTTGTCTGTGACCCACTTACGTATCTGACAGATACAGATAAGAACATATGTTTTGCAGTATTCGCAGCAAATCGGCGTATCAACAGCTGCTCAACTATTCACTCTCCCTCGGTCTAGCTCCCTCTCTCTCTGTCTTCACTGCATTAGGGCGGAAGTGTTCGCCGCCTGGATAGGCGTGGCTGGCATCTCTATTGAACACTCTGCTGCATTATTGGCATTGATTAATTGACGAGCTGCCGGCAGTTCAATAGGTGCGATACAAGACAAATTATGTGAATCCAACCAAAAAAAAAAAAAATAAACAACGAAAAAGAAGCAAATTTTATGTTTTTCGGACAGCTGCAAAATGTGCATCGAAATTGTTGCTGTTTAGCTCAAATGTTGGCCAAAGATCAGCGAAGCACTCAACCGTCAACTGCAGCCCAAGACAAATGATCTGCGACTCTTAACTTATCCAATAAAAACGGCCAGCCAAAGCAACTATGAAAATATAGAAAAAACCTAATCTGAAAATATAAAAGATATTAAATATCTAAGTAAATAAATAAAAAACTTAACATAAACTATATATAACATTTAAAATACATAAAAATAAAGCAATCAAATTTAAAAAAAAATATTTAATGTATAATGCAAATAACTGAAGATATAATAATAAGCAAGCAACAAAATATAATTTAAAAAATATAAAAACGAATTAAACGTAATAAAATTAGTTATAAATTAATACAAAATATATAAAATAAAAAAAAATTTGCTTAAAAATAATTAATATCCAAATTGACATAAATAATAATAAAAACATAAAAATATATAATTTATTGATAATATATAAATGCAGTAAATTTTATATGCTGTGCACTTTATACATGTGTATATAGTAGAAAAAACGCTTATTTAATATTTAATGTTTTATATTTTATATATGTATATATATATGTATATATATATATATATATATATATATATACATACATACATATACATATATAGTCGTTTATTATAAAT